CATTAACTTTTAGGCCAGAAATCTTGGAGGAAACTCTCCTATTTTTAGGCATTATTTAGTCTTTCAGATTGTGTTATGTGTTTTTAAATAGCCCTATATTTTCAAATTGTTTTCTGTCTTTCGAATCTTTAAAATGTAGAAAATAATATTTTTGTCAGTTCTATTAACCAGAGTTTTTAAAAACTTCTCTAAATATGGCAATTGTTTAGCATATTGAAACAACAAAGGAAGGTCAATTAAACAAAAGGATGAAATTTACTGTTGAGGCCATGAATGGAGGAGTATACCCAATAGACCTGCAGGCTTCAGTGTCAGCAAAGATCAAACTGTCAACCTCAAAGAAAAATCGATCCTTTAAAAGAAATAATCCAAGGCTTATCATTATTCTTAGCAGCCCTTTCTTCTCTCTTCCTCATACCTGCCTACTCCTGAATTATATATGCATTCACAGACATTCTCATTGGAGGAAAAAAAAAACGAATTTGACATCTTTTATAAGTTAATTCATTTTAGCAAAAGTTTCCAAATTGCCTTATTTAATGAGTTTCTCTTCACCAGTACAAAAGATAATAAATAAGACGCAGTGATGGGCAGTCAAGGAAGGTCTTTTGAGGTCTTGGTGAGACTGTTTAGCAGGGATTGAAGACCACTTCTGATGCTCACTCTAAAAGAAATATTTTAAGCAAACCATAAAAGTGGGCTTGACCCTTCCATGGGACCATCATAAATCAATTGTTAAAGCAAGGGTGAAAACTGGGGAGGAGGTCAGAGGTGGGAGAGAGGCCACAGAGAAAGGACAGTGTGAGAAACTAGAGCAAAACCAGGGAAGAGAATAGGGCAATCTTTTGGTTGAGTAGCATCATTAATCGAGAAATTGTGTTTATGCTGCTTAGAACTGTACACTAATGAAATTACAGCCATACAAAAAATTCCCACAGCAGAACTTAAAACCTAGGGTTGTTTTAGGGCTAAGGCTCCTGTTCAGCAACAGGTAGATTGAAACTTGGTTAAAAGTAAGTGTCAATCTACCCTAAGTCCTTCGGAAAATTTCACCGAATATACGGGAAAGTTTGTGCCACTGGTTCCTGTGTGTCATTAAATGATACAACTTTAGATGTGCGGGTGGTATTCAGACATAAATATCTCACTCATGGTATCTCAAAGCATGTCAGTTTTGCCGTATTCTGTGAAAGGCTGCCTTTAACTTTTTGCCAAATTGACCTTACACTTGCAAGAAAAAGCTTCGTGATAACCCCTTCATTAGGTGAAAAGAATATAGAATGACAAGTTAGTGTGTTGACTAATCTAAAAAATAAAAACCATTGCAGAAAATTTTGTATCAAATTGTAGAGCTTGAATGATCTATATGTCTAGTCATTTGTTTCCTTAGGGTGGAATCAGGTTTGAAGCCCAGACAATTAAAGTGATTCACATTTAAATGAAAGGTGGCTCGATTGATTTGTAACGACACAATTTATTTGGTAATAATGACATTCCTTGCGTTTGGCCAAGAAAACAAAGGTTGATTTATTTCCTAGTAACAAAGACAAATGGCCCTTCTGCTCCAACCTCTTCCTTATTCTCAGTGGTTTAGGGGCAGGTTGTTAGTGGACTCTGCTCTGTTCTCTCTCTTGCTGGAGGAGGATTCTAGGCAAAATCTTTTAGAAACATGCTTGGAAAAGTCCCAGTAATGGAAACTAGACAGTTGTACACACACCTGAAAGTTTTAAAGAGCCATGTGCTTTTTTTTTCGACTTGCAATTGCCCAACTTGGTATTGAAAACAAAGGATTGTCCTAGAAAAATTGAACACCTTATCCAAAGCACCTGAATGTTGTCATTTGCAAAGATACAGCTCTAGTTAACATATGTTCTTGAGACTAATCTTAGAGGACTCAGATAAATAGGGGTGAATATAACAATGGCATCATTATTATAATGATAATGCTCATATTTTTAAAAATTATCCTTTAAAAATGACCCAATGTTTTATGCAAGTGTTTCACTATAAATATGAATTTTAAATGCAAATACAAGCACAACTGGGAATTGTCTATTTAAGCTTAATAAGTAATGATAAACAATAACATGAAGACAAATAGATAAAATAAATCAATTTTTAGTACATATGTGGTTTCCGTTTTTATGTGATAGAATCACAGCATTAAGCTTGTTTAAAACAAGTTTTCTATTTTATTTTAATAAGTTTTTAAATGTTCAGAGAAAGCAGCGTGTTTACTTGGGACCTTTAAGAAACAAAGTCCTTGAGTGACTTAGAGAATTTCCTGGGGCCAGCTAGGCAGAGTCTGCTTTTCTAGTGTGAGGGAGACCCTGGCCAGGGAAAAAGAGGTCAAGAAAAGCAAGTGAGTTGGAGGGGCAACCTAGTGAGGTTTGCAGAAGATCTTTTTCCTGAGCAGGAAAAGTGCAGTAATGAGAACTGTAAAGAGGACTGTATAACCTTATGTTTATTCCTCTCTGAAAACAGAGAAACGTTTCCGTTTTGATACTGAAAGGCGGCTGGAAACTGATACAGGGAGCTGTTAGAAGAGCTGAAAGCAGAATCAAGGTAGCAAATTGCTCTTCGCTTTCCAATGCAACATTCATTCATTCAGCAAACAAGTCCCTACTATGTGCCAAAGGCGGTGGGACAAGTGACCCAAGGGAAAGTGAAAGCACACTTGTGATGATGATGGGAGCTGAGGAGAAGGTAAATAGAGCAATGCCACAGAGCAGGAAGAGTGAAACTCAGAGGTCTACAGTTCAGACAGGTGACCTATGTGAAAAGATGGTAAGGGAGGCCTCATGGAAGGAAGCCTGCTATTTACTTCAAGCAAAGAAAACATTTTAAAAGAAAAAGCTTTAGCTTGGGCAAGATGGTGACACCATGGCTCTACAAAAATCCAAAAATTAGCCCAGTGTGGTGGCACATACCTGTGCTCCCAGCTACTTGGGAGGCTGTGGTGGGAGGATCACCTGAACCCAGGAGGCAGAGGTTGCAGTGAGCCATAATTGCACCACTGGACTCCAGACTGGGTGACAGAGTGAGATCTCATGTAAAAAAAGAAACAAAAAGAAGTTTAAAAAAAAAAAGTCAGAGGTTTAGTGTACACTGAACAGTCAAATGCATGACTAAAATTCATAAGCAGTAAGTGCTAACATATTGTCATTTGAGCTTCAGGTTAATTTCAATGAAAGAAATAAGGACAGTGCATTAGATCTTAAGTCCTTTTTTATTCTTTTGGTTTTATACTCTAATTCCCCTTCCTTCTCTCCTCCCTCCCTGCTGGAGACAATCACTGCCATGACTTTGGTGTTATTCTTTCAGTCTTTGTTGCTCATGCAGCATTGCTTTGTGTTTTTAAAACGTATGTGAATAACATCATTCCATATGCAAAATTCTGTTATTTCCTTTTTTTTATTCTGCAGTATGTTTTGAGAGCTATCTATGTTAAATTTTATGGATCTAATTCATTCATTTTGTTGACCGTGCAGTATTCCATCATATATCATAAGTTATTCTGATTAATGAGAATTTGAATTTTTAACAAATTCTACTGTCACACCCCATGCCTCACTCAACATTTATGTATATGTCTCCTTGTGCACAGATGCAAGGGTTTCCTTAAGGATTATACCTAGAAGTAGAATTGCTAGACGGATATAAGATATTGGGTAGGCACCAGATATTCCAGATACAGAGGAACTGCATTCCAAAGTGACTGGACATATTTATGGTCACTTCAGAAGTGTGAGGCTTCTCTTTAACCCCATACTTGCTGATATCGTACATTGATTTTATTGTTCCCAAATGATTTTCTTTTTTTTACACTGTCATATAAAAACTGTATTATTTATTTGATTACCAGTGAGGTAAAATGATACTCCATACATTTATTGGTCATTTGGTTCTTCTGTTTTTTGAATTCCCTGCTGCTATCCTTTGCTGAATTGTCTATCAGAATTTTCACATTTATCCTTATTAATTTGTATCAGCTATTTACACATTCTGGATTCTGAGATTATATGTAAACATACACACACAATATGTGCACAAAGACGCATATATGCACGTATGTGTACTTAAAATCCTACTAAGCACATAAAAGAAGATGTAGATTAATGGAAAAAAATCAAGTCCTTGGAGAAAAAATAACACTTTAAAGATGTAAATCATCCTCAAATTAGTCTGTTAATTCAAGAAAATTGTAATAAAACTTCAAGCAACGTTTTTTTTGTAGCATGTGACATGAATCTACATATTAGAGTAAAAAGAAAAGAACAACTAAGACAGTCTTTAAAAACTGAGAAAGGACAGGAAGCATGTTCTATAAAGAGATAAGAAATATTGTAAATTACAGTTACATATAACTGTAATTAACATATGTGCAATAGATGCACATAAATTAATAGATTCTATATATACATACATACAATATACACACAATACGTGTGTGTGTGTGTGTGTGTGTGTGTATCAGTTTATATCTGATCTATACACAGTCGTCCATCGATATTGTGGGAGATTGGTTCCAAAACTTCTCATTGCTACCAAAATCTGAGGATGCTCAAGTCTCTGATATAAAATGATGTATGTAGTATTTGCATATAATTTATGCACATGTTCCAATATATTTTAAATTATCTCTACATTACTCATAATACATAATTCAGTATAAGTGCTATGTAGATACTTGTTATGCTGTATTGTTTAGGGAATAATGACATGAAGAAAAAGTCTGTACAAGTTCAGTACAGACATAATTCTTGTTCAAACATTTTCAATTTATGCTTTGTTGAATCCGTGGATGCAGAGCCCATGGATATGAAGGGCCGGCTGCATTAGCATATGTGTGAATACATCAGTAAGGTGAGCAACCACAAGCTTAACACACAGATAAAGTTAATAGCATTAATTTATATATGTAGTAATCAACCAGCTAGAAGACATAATTGAGGCCTCATTTGCAAGGTAACGTAAACATATAAAATACTCAGAAATATGTGCTCGCTTCAGCAGAACATACACTAAAATTGGAATGATACAGAGAAGATTAGCATGGCCCCTGTGCAAGGATGACATGCAAATTAATGAAACGTTCCATATTTATGAAAAGAAATTCAGAAATAAGTTTATTGAGAAATGCTGATAAATTTTAAAGTTCTACTAAATACTACTGAGTACATAAAAGAAGACCTAGATTAATGGGGAAAAAATCAAGTCCTTAGAAAAGAAAATAACATTCTAAAGATGCAAATTATCCTCATATTAATCTATTAATTTAATAAAATTGTAATAAAAATTCAGGCAACATTTATTTTGCAGCACGGGCACAGAATCCATATAGAGTGAAAAGAAAATCAAAAGCAATTTAAGGAGGAGGCGCCAGGCACCGTGACTCACACTGGTAATCCCAGCACTTTGGAAAGCTGAGATGGGCAGATCACCTGAGGTCGGGAGTCGAGACCAGCCTGGCCAACACGGTGAAACCCCATTTCTACTATGTAATCCCAGCTACTCAAGAGGCTGAGGCAGGAGAATAGCTTGAACCCATGAAGTGGAAGTGGCAGTGAGCCGAGATCACGCCATTGCACTCCAGCCTGGGCAACAGAGCAAGACTTTGTCTCAATAAAACAAAAACAAACAAACAAAAAAACTGAGAGACGAGAGGAAGCATGTACTATGAGGAGACAAGAATTATTGTAAATAGCAGTAATGATATCTATGTGCATTGGAAAAAGATACACAAAAAGACACTGGTCCTCAGTGTAGCTCCACAAATTTTTGTTATAAAAACATTCCTATATTCTATATTGCTACTTATTTAGCCACTAAATAATTCATTCTGTAATTTTAAAGACAAATTTTAAAGAGCAGTTTTAGATTCACAGCAACACTTAGTGAAAGGTACAGAGAGTTTCTGTATACCCGAACCCCTACAAATGCTCAATCTCCCCCATTATCCACATCCCCCACTAGAGTGGTGCATTTGATACAATTCATGAGCCTATGTTGACACATCATTATCATTCTTTAATTTTTTAACAAACAATACTACTTTAAGGGGAGAAAGAAGCATCATAGTCTGGCTGACATCTTAAAGTTTCTAAGACACAGGAAGAGCCACTGCTCTCTTGAACCAAGAAAAAAGCCATCTTTTAGTGGCTGACTCAAGAATGCAGGAGGAATTTAACTAACTTCTCTAGGGCTATTTCCTTACATGTGACAGCAGGTTTTACATGAAGATATTACACTCAAAGAATCACAGAAAAATATGACGGAATTGTTTTTCAAATACTAACTCAGAGTATATCTACTACAAACTAGGTGTTACCATCTCCACTGAACAGGTAAGAAAGCAAGAGGCTCAACAAGGCAAGACACTTTCCCCAGAACACAAGGAGAAAGGGCAGAATCAGAGCTCCCAGTGAGGTCTAGAAGACTCCAACCCTACCCCCGCCATCTTGCTTCACGCCCACTGTCTACTCCACTTAACTTGACTCTGGGCTTGCTTGGAGACTTGCAGCCATTTGATGACTTGGAGTTCCGTAAGATTGGGATTCCAGAGGTACAGAATACAAATCCCTAGAACTTGGAGTGGGCTGCTCTGTGGCCACGTGCCTTGGGGTCCCCAAGCCTCCCGGGCCACATCATCTCAACACTCATGTTAGTGGCATTTTATTTTGCTTCTGTTTAACTTCAAGGATTTCATGTGCTTATGTCAAGCATTAGCTGCATGTTCCTGCAGTTTAAACAGGTGTAGTTTCCTGACAAGTGTAAATCATTAATGCAACGGTCGAATGAATCAGTAGCCTGAAAAAACAGTAGGGAGGTAGCGATCATGATATGTTCTATCCCATTGTTTTCACACACTTGGCCCCCGGAACCCTAGTTCCTTTTCCACTCCTTGATCTTGGGATTTTTTTTTTTTTTTTTTGCCTCAACAGGCAAAAAAAATATTATATTTACTGTACTTTCTCCCTTAAAACTGACCTACCAATTTGTGCATGGCTGCAAGACTTAATGCCCTTTAGGTCTTGAGCCAAATAGCAGCATCTCCAAAAAGCCTGCTATAATCACACTTGGTCACAAGGCTCTGGGTACTCGCTATCATATCGCCTAGTTGTTTCTTTTCTGCCAGTTGTCTCAATCTGAAATCATCTTCTTGATTCATTATCTTGAAGCCAACGCTTCTTGTTCTTTGTTAAATACCCAGCACTTAAACTAGAGCCTAGAAAATGATGGTAGCTCAGTGAGAATGCATTAAATAAGTCATTGAGGGAGCGAGCAATCTTTAATAGAGATAGAAAAATGATCAGAAAACCTTTTCCAGCTACATTTCCAAGAAAGAGATTTAGCAAAGAAAATGGGTGGTCTGACATACTTTTATTCAGTTCCAAAGCCCTGGTCAGTAAATACTGGCTTCAGAGGCCAAAGAAACTTGAGACCTGACTGGCGCTGGGCTTGCATTGCAGCTCAGAAAACCCCCACTTGCAAGCAGAACAGGGGTTATTCGAACTCCCCGCCCCTGCTCCTTTGGCATGCGTTCTGGGCCCTGTAAAGGTTGCCATTTACTGGGTTTTGTTAGATCAACACAAAGTAAATATTTTCAGTTCCTGAATGCTGGTGAGAGCATGGGAGGGATCGAGTGACGGTGCCTGAGAGTAAATTCCATCTCCCTGCAATAGCAGGCTTAGTTCCATGCTCTCTGCGGAGCCAGGCTGATTAGTGGCACATGGCGAGGGCTGAGTTCCTTCAGCAACCCTGTGACATACAGGAAGAAGTTTACGCAGCTCTAAGAAAGAAATCAACACCAGCAACAAGTCAAGTGTCAGTGCGTGCTTCATGTCTTATAAATACCCCCAACCATAGAGAGATGCTGGTTAATTACACAGCGTGAGAACAGAAGGATGGTGGGGAAAGACTCGTAGCCAAGTTAAGAAGAGCTAAAACAACTCTGCCAGATGATCACAGCAGAAAAGAAAATGTTGGTTGCCCTGACCTCAAGTGTATGAAAATCACACATCTCCTAGATAAAAACTACTTGTAAAAATTACCCAAAGCTGTGACTATTTACTTCTGCAACAGAACAAGATTCTGGCATCTGTCAGAACCCAGGAAAAGGAATATGCCCTGAAGCTCAGAGTCCGATCGCTGCTCTTGTGCAGGGTGGGTGGCAGCTAAGCCCTCCAAGATGCTCTGTTCCTCTTGGCCAACAGGAGAGAATATTAGGGCTTGCCCAAACAGGCCCCAACAAGGCACTTTTATTTAGTTTCTAGCATGATTAATCTAATTTGTTTTAGGTTCTGGGAAACTGGCTATACTACAAGGTAGCTTCCTGGAAACTTATGAAAACTTACATCCAAAAATTCTTGTGCAAATTAGACATTAATGGGCCAATTGTACATGTTTCAAATCAGCAAGCTGCTACATAGGTGAAACTAATCTATTTAGAAAAGGCTTAGAATTTAGAAAAAATTAGGTTTCAGGAAAATAGTATACATTCTTTTTAACCTTTCTTTCCCAGGCTCACTTTTAAGGGATCATTGGGATTCCCCACTAAGAATGCAACTGTATCTATCATCAGAAGGGTATTATCAGATGGCACTCCCATCTGCTGATGTGTTAGGATTTTAAAGGATTCACTAATCTTAGAGAAGCCTCTCTCTTAGACTGCACAACTCACAACAGAGAACATAGATTCCTAGATGAATTAAATCCTTTCCCTAAAGAAACATGGCCCATGAGCTGATGAGAAAGCCAGTTAAAAAAACTTCATCTTCTGATTTGTGGTCCACAGCCATCTCAATTCTGCTGTGCAGGCAGTCTGTTTGGGTAGTTCCAACGGGTTCAGTTCTAGAAGCCATCACTAGAGGCCTGTTTCCAGATTGAAACTGGTCCAACCAGGTAGTTTTAGGACATAGGTTTTTCAACCCAGGACTTCATATTCCATCCTTGTCCTCCAAAATCCAGAAGCTTTTGAAAAATGGTTATTTCTGTCTTCTAAGAGTGGATTGTAAACCCAGACCAAATCTCTGAAAGGAGCCACAGATTAAGGCCTTCTCTACTTACCCTAGACCTCTTAGCTGTAGGTAGAAATAATGTAGGCTTTTCCGATGCTTAAAAACATATCACACTTGGGAGGAGATGGTTCCAGATAAGATCTTTTGGCAGGTGCCTATTAGGCCCAGTTCCATGGCTTTCCTCCAAGATGATTTTATTTTTAAACAGCATCAAATTTTATGCTGTAGCCTTGCTAGGAATACAGTAGATACAAAACAGCTTTCTTTTATTTCATAAAGAACACAAGTTTAATCTTTCTTTCTTGTCTCTGAAATAACTCAAAATGGAATTCTCTTTACACTGGAGCTTTGTTTTAAAGTCAGAAAGATCTTTATCACCTGTATACATGCTATGAGCAGAAGAGCTTGTTTAAAAATCCTTGACAATATTAAGTGTGGGATGTAGTGCTTATTAAAATTATACCTTATCTTTGTTCAGATGCATAGTCCAAGAGACACCAATGTTACAAACAAAACATTATAGTAGCTTCTATTTGAAAGATCTAATATTAAATGCCGTCATTTATTTTCATGATCATTAGTTTATTCATGTAAATTAACACTGTCCATGAACTCCAGTTTCTGGTCAATCTTTTGGAAATCTATCAAAATATTTGGGAAAATTATTTGAGTGGTAAATTGAATATGATCAGTCAATTTCTGATAGCTGCGTGAAATATACAGAAGCATTAACATAAAGGAAAACATATCTACCATGAGAAGTTTGTTTTTAGCACAACCTTGAGGATCAAGTTTGAAAAACGCTCTCGGTTGGAACCATCTGTCCATAAGAACTGTAGCTCATCAAAATTATCTACCTGTCTGTGGCCCTCAGGTGGTGTCTGGTCATTGCAGCCATAGGCTAGCTACAGAACTAGTTTTCCAAAAGCAGTTCATCTCAACCAGCTTCAAGATTAAATCAGAAGGTCAGATCAGATCCAATTTACCTGTGAAATCTCCATTCTAGCGTCTAACAATGCACCGTAGTTGCTCAGTCTGTCTGTTAACTTGTCAACATAAGTTCATTCAGCTAAGAAAACAGGCGAGT